AAGCCAAACGAGCTTTTCGAATCCGTGCTGAGATTTCGTCCGATACCAGCCCATTAGGGCTGATCAGACTTCCAAGATAAGTGAAGTTGTCAACGCGTTCGACCACTTCACTCCCTATCCTTAGTTCAGGTGCTGACGCAGACCAGTCCTGAAGCAACAACTTGCATTTAGAGGGAGAGAAGCGCATTCCAAACATTCTGGCACTGTTGCTTAGTGGTAACAAAAGACTGCCTTTTTTCAGCGTCTTAACCAAACAGGACTATATCATCTGCGTATTCTAAGTCGATAAGTGAACCTCCTGGAAGGAGATCAATACCTGAGAACTCAGTCGACGAGAATGTTATTTCCATCAGTAGGTCTATGATGAAGTCAAACAGAAATGGAGAAAGTGGACAGCCTTGACGGACACCACTTGAGGTTGCAAAACTAGATGACAGTTCGCCATAAGCTCTGACTCGACTAGTAGTGTTCGAGTAAAGAGCCTTTACAAGGTTTATGTACTTCTGGGGTACGCCTTTCAATGGCAGACACTGCCACAGAATCTCGCGGTCTACAGAGTCAAATGCTGCTTTTAAGTGAAGAAAGACCACCATCGTCGGACGCCGATAAGTATGCCTGTGTTCTAGAACCTGACGAATGGTGAATATGTGGTCGATGCAGCCACGACCAGGTCTGAGGCCAGCTTGGTTTTCTCGTGTTTGCAGTTCACGAGTCTTAGTTAGGCGTCTGATTATTATTGAGGCTAGTATTTTAGATATTATATTTGTTAAACTAATCCCTCTGTGGTTGTCACAAGATGATTTTGATCCTTTCTTATATATTGGGACGATAAGTGATTGTGACCAGTCAGATGGGATAAAGTCTAACTCCCAGATCTTATCTAAAATACTAGTCAACCTAACCGCTAAAATTGGACCACCATCCTTAAAGACTTCTGGAGCCAGTCCATCTGGACCAGCTGCCCTTCCTCGTTTCAGATTATCTATAGCCTTTTGAACTTCTGCTAGAGTTGGGGGACCTACATCAATGTTCCATTCACACTGTCTGGGAATGGAGGGTAGTTGTAGAGTCGCTGAAGGCCAGTTGACCTGTTCCCTAAAGTGTTCCGCCCATCGTTCTAAACGTCTGGACTGGGAGTAGATGAGAGTATCGTCTTTTTCCGAAATAGTTTCACTTACACTTGACTTATTAGTTCCAGCTTCTTTTATTAGTCTGTAGAGCTGTCTTGTGTTCCCTATAGCCGCCGCCTTTTCCATCTCTTTTGCTTTCGTTGCCCACCACTGCTCACGGTCGTTTCTTAGACTTTTTCTTAACCTAGATCTGATTTGTTGTCGCTCTTCATCATGTTCGGAACCTGATGGGACGAGTTTGCGAGAATCCATCAGTGTGATAGACTTTGAAGAAATCCACTGGTTCTTTGTAACTCTGTGGGTTAAGTCACTAATAGATTTCATTGCTGTTTCCACATCTGTTTTTATATCTTTTCAAGCAACATCTGGGTCAGCCTCGTTTTCAGAACTACCTAAGCGTGACCTCAGTTGTTCCTGGAACTTACTTTTGGTTTTCTCGTTACTCAACTCAGTTTTAATGGGTCTTTTTAATGTGGCTTTTTTGCGTCCAGTGAGGCGCAAGCAGATGCGTGCTCGTATTGGGGCATGGTCAGAGTCCAAGCAGGTACTCCAGAATGAGCGACAATCTTGTACCGACCCTCTCCAACTATGACTGATGGCAATATGGTCTATTTGAGTCCATCGTTGGTTTGGTGTAGGGGGTCGCCATGTTAGACGATGTCTCTCCTTATGCTTAAAATTTGTGTTTGCTAAAAATAAACGATTGTCTGAGCATAGTTGCAGCAGACGATCACCATTATCTGTTCGTTGTGCTGGTATACTAAAATACCCACCTAAATGCCTTTCTGTTTGGTTTAAACTACCTATCTGGGCATTAAAGTCACCTGCTACGAGTGCTATGTCTGAACGTTTAGCTTTCTGAAGAAGTTCAGATAACTTTCTGTAAAATTCATCCTTCACTTCATCTGAGCTGCAGTCGGTGGGAGCGTAGGCAGAAACGACTAAAAGGCAACGACGTGTGTCCCTATCTTCCGAGTTCTTACGGAGCCGTTTAGCCGGACAGTACATAGACGACTGTTGACGGGGATCCACTCTAACAGTGCTTGTTCCGCCCTCATGCTTAGTGCTATGCCTACACCTGCCAGTCCACGAGAACTGGCCATCGGGTCACCAGATACACGTAGGGTGTATCTCGTTGGCTCTCCGTTTTACCGAGGTGAGGTCAAGTGAATGACCACACTGGGATCCTGTATGCGTGTTTCGGAGACACAGCACACATCAATGGTACGAGATTCTAGGGTTCTAGCCAAGGAAGCCTGTTGACCGATTTGACATAAGGTGCGTACGTTGAAGGCTCCAATGTGTAGTTTGGAGCGAGGTTTCAGTGGACCTGGGACAGTGTTTTGAGCACGAGAATCGTTGGCTATGGTGATACTTGAGGAGGAAGCCGAAAGAGGAAATTTAGAGGTGAAAGTCGATGTAGGAGGAATAATAGGAATTGAAGAGGGAGGTTGATTATGAATCCAGTGGTCTTGAGTACTGTTAGAGGTATGAGGGCGGTTATCACTTCCCGGTTGCCCACACCATGGAAGGGTTCTACTGGAAGTACCTGAAAAGGATTAGAAGTGGTCTTAGTGACCTGGGAGCGTGACCGCAGTGCCCAAGGGACAACTGCTTGAGGTCAGTCACACACGACCTTTTTATGGGCAATTTTTGTGTTAGCTCCGTACTTGTTGAGACCTTACCGCCGGAGATGGATATCCGTGGGATAAGGCGAGGTGTGCATGTTTAGGGTCGACCTTTTCTAACCCCACCCCTCCTTGTGGGAAGGCAGCATCGCTGTCATGCTGGTTGTCTGAAGGAAACACCTTACTGCTGTCACACCTCTGTACAGTCGGCAGTACGACTTCGCCTTCAGACCTTGGGTTTGTTGCTTTCAGTCTTACCGCTCCTCAACCGACCTTTCTGACATGGTAGGACCTTGAGGAACAGTTGTTTCAGTCAGTATAGCTCGGTTGCTTCATCACGATAGACAAGCCCGACCACCACGTCAAGGTAGCAACAACGGTCGGGACTGCTTTAATCAAAGCCCATAATTGAAATACACTATCTCTACTAGGTCTATGTTGCAGACAAATCAGATAGTTAAAAAGTTTGTTTTATGGGTTATATGTTCATATAGCATATCACACTGCTATAAAGATAACCAATGGTTAAAAGAAGTAAGGACTAATAGCAAATCGAAGGATATGAGAGGGTATAAAATTGTAGAAACAAAGATTTTAGGGTAAGAAAAATAAAACATTGAGTAATTCACAAGACTTTGTGGCCAAATTTTGAGCTTTGTATGATCGGCCTTAGTAGATCAGCATCCATAAGATTAGTGAGCTATCTGTCTACTTGCAATAGAAAAGAAGGCATGACTTTTAGGAAGAATAATGTATATTTAACCTGTAGAAAGGCTTCCTGTGTAATTAATTCCTAAATCGTGTACTGATTTGAGCGTTTGGACTCTACTTTTATTTAAGTGAAGTTGCAATTTATAGGGATGCTTTCCAAAGTGCATGATCCCGCACTTGTTGAGGTTAAATGGTAATTGCCATTTTTCACTCCATATGGTTAAGTTATTGAGGTCGTTTTGGATCTGGGATACACTTTCGCTTGGTGTCTCAGGCTTATAGCTGTATACTATTTTGAGATCATCAGCATATAAGTATGGTTCCTCGAATTCTATGGTGGACCTAATATGCTTCCCTGGATGATTCCACTGGTGATTGGTCTAGGTGACGAGAGACAGTCGTTGTACTTTACCATCTGTTTACGTTCTGTTAAGAACGAAGCAAACCATGAGTACAGTGGGTTGTTTATTCCGAAGGACTTTAGTTTGACGAGAAGCTTTTTGTGTGGGACCTTATCGAAGGCTTTCTTAAAGTCTAAGAATAGGACTGATACAAGGAGTCCGTTGTCTCGTTTCAGAGTTATATCGTTCAGGTAGTCTACTAGGCATGTATCGCGTGATCTGGACCTAAGAAATCCATGCTGGGAGGTCGAGATGAGATTATTAGTAAGTAGATGTTGGACTACCGCTGCCTTAACAACTTTTTCCATCACTCTAGATACCACTGAAGTTATGTTTATTGGCCAGTAATTGCCAACATTTGCTTCAGGTCCTGTTTTAATCTTGGGAATGATATGCGTAGTTTTCCAGGCAGTAGGGTAACACGCTGCAGAGAGTGATATCGCGTATAGTTTGAGAAGCAAAACACACATATCATCACCTCCAGGTTTTAGCATGCTAGGTTATTATTCAGTCTAACTGCATGTTTTTCCTGTGCGACTGCGTTTTGTGTATTTATTGCCTCTTCGAACAAGTATTTCTGTCATCGTTACTAAAAAGTAGAAGTCATTTAAGTTGTGGAATCTAGTACAATGTCTTTGAAGACGTTTTCTTGTACTGACCGGTATATAGAGATCTTTGGAAAACGTAGGTCGTACGAAGTGTTACAGTTTTACTTCTACCGGTTATGGTTTTTACACTAAGGCTGCTTATGACAATGTTATGACCACTTCCTGGAAACGTTTTTCCAATATACAAATTATTGGGGATGAAGCCACTGCTAAAGACCAAGTCCAAGATGTTTTGATGTTTGGTAGGTCTGTTGACATATTGAGTCCATTGTCTAAGCTCTAGACATTCAATAAATGATTCACAATGTCTCGGCGCTTTGACTAGGAGCCAAGAAACTTCGGGTATATTGAAGTCACCACAAACAAACTTGCCTGTGAATGGGAGGTGTTGAAAGCAAGTTATACGGTAGCATTAAGGAGCACCTGTCCACTGTTCTTGGGATACCTATAGAGCAGTTGGGTTCAATCTTACGTGTTTCCCTGTAATTAGTGTCAAAGATAATTTAATTAGAATGTAAAATAATGGCAACAGTTGGTGTTTTGTGGTAAACAGTATTCCCTTGACATTGATTGCTGAATTCAGATTATTTACAATGGATGTAAACTAAGACAAATATAAATTCTCTTTTTTCAGTTCATACAACGGCACGGATTCAGTAGGTCTCGAATAGCTTCTGCCAGTTTGCCTCACTTGTAGTGTAAATGATGTATCTGTCTGTTAACCAAAGGATGAGTTTACTGCGCAGCAGTTCGCTCCGTCCTACTTTATTTGTGTGAAACATGGTCGTTAGGAATGCAGAATATTCGTAGGTTACTAGTATTGGATCATAGGTGTCTTCGAGGCATTGCTCGTGTATTTTGGGATCATCAGGTAAGTAATACCTGGATTAGGAATAGAGTATTAGGCAGAGATAGGAAGTCGATTGATGAGGTTGTAAATCTTCATACACTGATGTGGTTGGGACGTGTGTTACGTGTTACTACCTACCTCGATGAGCGATGTTTTATGGTGCAGGAGTAGGCTGGAGGAGAGTTAGAGGCGGCCAAACCAAAATATGGCATCAGTCCATGAAGTTAGTGACAATTGAACTTGGCCATGTTATTACGTACAGACTACTTCGTTGAGGTCTGTGTAATTATCATAGTCAATGATAAGAGGCTTTGAATTAAATGGCCCAAAATCGTTTGCATTGGCGCAGGTGCATCCATTGTTTGTCTTCCCCCAAATTCTGAACTTCGGAATTCCTCATAACGTTTTTGTTTTTATTTTATTGATTTATATTTTTTAAAAACTATACCTTTGATTCCTAATCTTTTCAATTACTGTTCATACTGTTACTATCTCTTGTATTCTGGGATTTGGACTGACAATTTCATCCCTTTTTGCTGATGGATTATAACAACTTGAATCGATGCACATATGTACCAGGTTCTATATTGTGACTGACTGGTTGATAATATTTAGGAAGTTCACATATGTGATTAAACAGTTTCACGTTCTTAAAAGTTTGCATACTTTTCATCTTATAGAACATGATAATATTGTTATTACGAATAAGCACCACATTTTTAATCATCAGAGATGGGAAGTGGCTAGGAGTGGAATCCAGGACGCACGAATCTATTTTCACGTGCGGTTTTTCCCTATTGGGGACTCGTCAGCTGGATGCGCCTGCATCTCAGAGTTGAGTCCCAGAGTGATCGTCAACTGTGAGATGCAGGTACATCCAGCTAATGAGTCCCAAGTAGGACGAAACGCGAGTCAAACTGGATTCCTCTGCTAGCCACTATCCATCTTTGTTTATAACTGGTCTAATAGTTCGTTTATAGCTTTCATAGAACAGTGATAAAATTGATTGATTTGAAACTTTGAATAATCTACTCCGTTTAAAAAACTGAGCTAATATTATGAGCAAGATCCATTAATGAATGTCATTTAAATAGCTTAGAATATGGATAACTTCTTTAGAATATCTCGCTTTTATTTATTTGAACAGATAAATGTTAGTATAAAGAGGCACCGAATAAATATACACCACACGGCTCACTTGAATTGTGTATGGGCTGATACTATCCGGGTGCCGAAACCAAAACAGGTGGTTTTCTTAGGGCGTCATACCAGTAGCCGTCGACCCAAAGGTTTGGTCTGCGAGGCAGTAAAGCAACGTGAAGAGATGCAGTCTCATGGTAGCAGGTGGTTTGGGATGAGGATTTTTCAACTCTCCTCGGTGGACTCTCTGTGTCCATCACCCCGGTTAAAGCGCCAGACATTCTCTTTTCGTGTTGTCAATTTTGTATTCAACATCCCAGTCACTAGAATGCAGTGAGTAAGCCTTCGCTGGCAGTAGCTGTATAAGGGCGACCATACGAGAGCATTTCGAGAGACAGTTGACTTGTTTCACCCTTGGTCGTATCAGGGCATTTGGGGGCCAGAAGGACGCATTAAAGAATGTCGTTGAAATAGCTTGGAATGTGAATAACTTCTTTAAAATATCTCGCTTATTAGTTTATACGACTAATACTTGATTTACTGAATTCATTTCAGTATAAGTTAGTAAATTAAAGTAACTTTGTACTTTTATTATATCATCACATGGGTTTACATCTGTGTTTTATAGAACACTTATTGACAAAGCAATTGTAATTGTTCTATTAGGTTATAGATGTTTCCATTAAATACATAATTTGTTAGTACTTAGATTGTCGTTATTACGTTTGTAAGTACAAAATTATATATACAATGATTAATAATAGCACATTTACTCGTTCTACACAAACTGGAGTCTGTACTACTAATATTGTTCAGAAGAACAATGAATGTTCCGTAATCAAACCATCCAGTTCAGAGAATAAAACACCTAAATCATCCACATTAGCTACAAATATTCTCCATCCATATCAGTGAAGTTTTTATTGAGTTTAGTAAATGTTTTTTCTCTTCAGGATTCATTCACTCGGACGGACCAGGGTCATCTTATTAACTGAACTGTTTAAATAATGAAACAAGCAGATCAACAGGTTTTAAAATCGGGTTTAGAATGATAAAATATTTTGATTTACAGTTATTCATTTAATTTGTTTGTTTGTTCATTGATCATCCTAGTTCCATACTAGAATGATACTACCATCCAGTACTTCCGGTTTTTCTATAGTGTTGTCTAGCTTCAATTTGACTTATGAATTCAATTATAAAATTACTACAATCTTGATAAATACCCTCTATGGTCTTTTTTGTTTTAGGGAACATGAATGGAGTAAACATGGTGTTTGTGCAGCAAGTGATGATTCATTTATATTAAATGAATTGGATTATTTCAATGTTTCACTTGAGATCAAATTGAAAGTGAATTTAATGAGGTAATATCTTACGTCAATATTATTGGTTGTTTTTTGTATATCAATGTTTAGTGTACAAACATTATTATGTTTGTTAATGTATAAGACTAGATGATGAGAAGAAGGAGGAGACTACTGGTCGAGGTCCGCTTTATGGCTTGCTAACGAACGGTTGATAAGTGATCCATGAATATGAATTCTTCATTTGATTTCATCTATTCTACTTAAGCTAATCTAGTTTGGGCGATGGAGGTAATAAAAGCCAAATGCAAATTAACTTGGACGAATTCGTTTCAAATACTCGTTTACTCAGGCAGATGTGAAGATGAGTGATGGAGAAAATCGACACTCCGACCTCATAAGTAATAGGTGAAGAAGATACAAGTATACGGACAGATGCTCACTAGCATGGATGATCAAGGTTTCAAGCGAGCAGTTGGTTAGAGCAAACACACGGCTGGGAGGACAGATAGAAGGATTGGAATAATTCATGTGTTTCAAAGTTGGGAAAAGACATAAGCGTCCTGCCTGTTGACTCCAGAACACTAGTCCAAGACTCCGTGACATCGTATATTTCAAGCATACTGTGTTTATATACAAACCAAACAGACTGCATATCAGATTTAGCCAAAAGTGGCTATGAATGTGGAAGACTATAAATAGTAGACTTGGCATAATTCAAGAACGGTAAATACTTTATGGGTCAAAATAAAGCTTCTAATAAGAGGAACACGAATATGAATAGTTCAATTACAATAAAAATAGATGTATAGTATTAGTCTAGAAATATATTCCAACAGTTACCATTCATTATTCTCATCGGTTTTCTGTTACCCTTAATACTATTCTCGTCACTTATTATATGTTATCGGAATGTCTGCTAAGAGCATTTAGCATAATGATTTTTGGTTGAAATATGTTCCGCAATCCAAGCTGTTTTCTTATCTGATCTTCAAGTGTTTTGTGTATACTGTGCTTTAAATGTACTGAAACTCTTCCCTCCGTTTGATGACTGTGACAGCTTCGACTTCACGCTTCGCTACATACTACTTACAAGAAATCTTGTGAGTAGTGTCTACCACACTACTACTATTCTTACCAGTGCTTTAATATTCATCTTGTTAATTTCCTCCCAGGTTCTACTTTATTTATGATTGACTGACTAACTGACTGTGTCAAATCATATAGAATCATTGATTTGGACATGAACATTCTTGTTTATCGCCTATGAAGATTGATTATATCTACTTGTAAATGTCATCGCTGTTAATGATGAATGATAGTGTGATATGGTTGATCAGATAAGGAACATTTACAAAAAGGTGTATGAAACATTCACTATCATTCGACAAGATAAATTATGTTATGATGAATTGTATGAGGTAAATACCATGTATTGTATGTTGTCTTCATATGATAAAAATAATCTAACGTGTTTATATCTTTATTAGGTAAGATGATTAAAAGCTTTTTAAGGGACAATTCATATGTTTCATAAATGTTTAACTGTCACTCACATTAAGGTTAATGGTTTTTCAAAATATCTTATATGTTAAGTTGATTGTTTGAATTGAAATTCCTGTTGAGGATCAGATGCGGATCAGATGTGAAAAGGATGAATAGCAACTGGAAAGAACTTCCTAGAACAGGGTTGGATGGAGAATGCTGTTGACAGCGGACTATGCTTCTTCAAGAAGAGTAACAGGCGTAGGTAAGTACGTCTGTTACTCTCAATGGAGCATAGGTCACCGACCAGTATATATGTGATGATCAAATACAACACTATAGAAGGAAGAAAATCAGTATTGATTTAAGATGAATTGTTTATTGTTTTTGTTTTACATTAATTTACTCAGTAGGAATTCTGTTCATGAACTTTCAATGCAGTTGTCGTAGACGATTTGTGTTCACTGATGATATCTTCGTTACTAAGTCATAATTACTGTAATCGACTCATTATAATTAGTCATTTTAAGTATATTTTAAATTCTATTGGGTCTTGGTTAACAAGCATCTATATAACAACTGGACTTTTCACTCTAGTTAAAGTAGGAGATAAAAAAAGGATAGTAAATAGTCTTGTTGTAAAATCGTAGTTTAATGCATGTAGACATCGATTTTTCACGTTGCTAGTTTTTTTAAAAATAGATTTCTCCACTTATAAGGATTATATTATCCAATTGATTCTGTTATGCTTTATTACGGGATCTTATTAATCGATGAATATATTTTTACATGAGAGTTGTGCTCTGGGTAACTTTTACTACTTATTGGTGAATAAGATCTTCTGGACAAAGTATAAATTCTGTTTTCAATTGTTGAACAGAGAGAAAGGTTATGAGATGCAGTTAGAATTGGTGATAATTAGTTTTGTGTATTGGCTGGTGCTGTCTCAAATCCACATGGGTTATTTTGTCTTCCTGACGGACCAATTTATTCATTCTTCTTGAGTTGCTTTATAACCTTGTGACTGTTCAAATATGAGTGTGCTTGTTAATCCCTTACCCTTCTCACCACATATCTGTAACATATTTTTCTCTGACTATAAATATCGTGTCACACTTGGTTAAATAGTGCTGGCTCACTCTCTTTCTCCACTGTGCGTCATTTTATTTCAATTCGCTTCCTTCATTGCGTCACCCTGATTGTCTGTTCAAATCAACGATTGTATGAAATGTACTTATTCGAAATTCATTCCCGTATTCGATTTATTTACTTCTGTTATTCACTAACGCGAGTTAAGTCGATGATTGTATACTAAGGTAACCAGGATGTATATTTAGAAATCAATCATCATCCGATGTTATTGGAGTCGGATACTATTTCACTAAAGTTTATTACTCAGATATACCAGTTTTGTTAGTTGTTTATTCTTTCGAAATATCCGTTTATTTTTCTGGGATTACAACTTCGTTGTCTATCTTTCAGCATCGTTATTTTATAGAAGTTTCATTAGTAAGCTTGGTAGTAGATAATTCCTACACACTTTGAACTTCAAGAGGTTATCTAAATCACGTTATTCTTTCACAATTATTACATTGTAATTTATAAATGAGCAAAAATCTTGTCAAGAGTAAATTGGTAATACTAACATGTCTTGTTTGGTGTTACCGATTTACACTTAACAAAACATGGCTTTCAAACGGCTGAGGGTGAAAAGAGTCAGTCGTCCTCCAAATGCTCTTACATAGTCATACATATACAACCATTGCCACGGACGTCTTATTCATTGCCTTCTCGTGACGGTAGTGTTGTTTACGAAATTGAGAAGACAAAAAGCGAATGTCTAGCACTTTAACAAGGTTCGTGGATATAAGGGATCCGGCTAGGGGATTCGGAAAACCCAGAACCAAACCAATGATGCACAGAGGCTCGAGTATCCTGAAGGAATAAATGGCGTATGAATCTATTGTTGACGACCGGCTGTCATGGGACTGCATCTCCTTACGTTGCTCCACTGCCTTGTGGATCAGATCTCTATGTGGAAAGCTCTGAGATTGGTTTTGTTTTGGGCACTCGTGAAGTATCCCAGCCCTTACACAAATCAAATGACGAAGTGTAGTGCATTTATATTAATACATTCTTATACTGATGTTTATGTGTTTAAATAAATAAGACAAGACATTTAAATTTATCAGATAAATTAACAAAGTAGATTCATATGGACATTATTCAATAGATATACAAACGTTCCATTTGAAAGATACTTCATAAATCCTAAACATTATACAGAACATTTATGAATGAGTAACGACTGTAATCAAATTCTAAATCCTGTATGCAATTATACGTATATTCGTCAAGATCAGAACGATTGTTAAAAGCGCTATTTCATCATTCCTTGATAGTTTTGATTTTGAGCATTCTACCCTGAAGAAGTTCAGACAAGTTAGTTGAAAGAAACGTTGGAATTATTTTTCTTTTAACTTTCAACCGCTGAGATTATTTCAAGTATAATTCTAGCATAAAATGTCTTTATACAAATAGTTACGTATGTTTCTCCCTCTCTCTCTCTCTCTAAACTTTGACTAATTCATGTTCATTTAGTATGTTGACCCTTTTCAATTTGTTCACAACCTCGAATTTTGTCTAACAAGTTAATTACAACGTTCATATAATTATCAAATCAGAACCTTCTCTTTGGTTATTTGTTTATTCTTGATGCGTACCAGCCCCCCTAACTAGAGGGAGAAGTCCAAGCTTGGAATGGGAAGTATATTCTGCAAAACAGTCAGAAACGAGCAATAGCAACAAACACAATTCAAAATGCATATATACAGTGCAAAATCGTCCTTGGGAAGAGTTAGCAACTAGCATACTAAAAGACGAAATGTACCAATAACTCTTAAAATATTTCTCATCGGGAAATAAAACATGAAGATGGCAAGAGAGCCTTTGGCGCGAAGAGAAAGAAATTCCAATTTTCTAAATGAAATCAGAAAATAAGGTATTTCACTAAGTGAGTTCTAGGGATCTAACGTCGCAAACACCACTGTTTTAAGTCGTTTTTATTTATTTGTTCTACTGACTAGCATTCTTATGATAACTGTTAATTATGTCAGAATTCACTGTCCTGTATACATAAAAGTAGGAAAATCATCAAAGAAAATATGAGATATTTTACTCACACATATCTTGTTAAAGTAGTTTCAATATATTTAGAAGAGAAGAAATCGCTTCAGATGATCACTATTTTGATAGTGACGGAATTCCAGTGAGAATATAAGCAATGCTTAGTGCAATTTCGAGATGAATCATATTGTTTGTTTAACAGGTTCGTCTCTGCATTCTTTTTTCAACAACTGATGGAGTCTCAAGTTACTTAGTTTCACAACATCAGAGACTCCACCCGATCGACCATACTGCCCCAACTTTGCGCGATCATGTCATACCACCTCACTATATCACATGATGACAGTTCAACGCTTTTCATCCAATAATGATGGTTTCGAAAATGTCAGAGACATTGTTAGTGAAATATCGGTCACTCAAAGAATCATGGTCTCTTGAATGTCAAAGCATAAGTAGCGTAAATTAGGATTCCCTACACTACTATGTTGTTGATGAATGCAAAGTTTTGTATTGATGGTTACAAAAGTGTCAAAGATCGGCTTTCGATATACGTAGAATAATTTGTTTATTTAAACACATAAACATTGGTACAAAGAGGCACCAAATAGACATGCTCCACATAAACCATTCGATTTGTGTGAGGTCTGGAATACTGCTCGGGTACCCAAACCCAGAGAGGGGGTCAAACCCGAAGCCTTCGACCTAAAGGTCTAATCAGCAAGGTAGTGAAGCAACGTCAGGAGATGTAATCCCATGTTAGCCTGTCACCAACAATAGGTTCATACACCATTTGTTCCTTCAAAATAATGGGGACAACCGATCTGTATCTTTGGTTTGGAGTCAGGGTTTTCCAACTTCCTAAGGTGTAGGCAATGTGACCACCAACCCGGTTAAAGCGCTGGATATTCGCTTTTCTTCCTCTCAATTCGGTAAACAACAGTAATGCCGCGAGAAGGCAGTGAGTAGGACTTCCCTGATAGTGGTTGTATTCACATGGCCATGTGAGAGCATTTGGAGAGGGGGAGCTGACTCTGCCCACTCTCGAACTTACCAGGGCATTTAAGAGCACGTAGAACAATCCCCCTTCCTGTACTGCCATCAGCCAAATCCAAGTCCAGAAACGTTTTAACAGTTGAACAACAAAGAGATTATATTCCAATAACAAGGTTATATGGAATTAAGAAACACAGTAAGAAAAACGTTAGTATATTTATAGTTTTAACATGGGAAGATCCTAGAGTGTTCTCCAAGTATCGACTACTGCTGATTGGATAGGAATTAACCGATCAGCTTGCGCCAAAGCAATCGTGCACTGAGCATGCTTTAATCCAATTTATCTCCCGCTAACAGGGTAGTTAGACCAGCGGCGGTATACTCACTAACAGTTTCATAGTCTCGTCAATGTAAAATTGTATTATGAAATGTACAACTTCAAATTGTAAACTTTTTCTGTTAATTTATTCATGGAATATTTTTAAAAAATAAAATAGTATTTCTTTTATCCATCTAAAGTGAATTGGCTTTAATTGTACCGGATGTTGTTCATGATCCAACACTGCCTCGAACAGAAGATCACATATGTCGTCGATGCGGTAAACAAGAAGCTGTATTTTTTCAATCACAAACATTGAAAGCGGAAGAAAATATGCGTTTATATTATGTTTGTACCAATGTTGAATGTTTACATAAATGGACTGAATAGATAATGTATATATAAGTATTATGAAAGAAAGTTCTCAATAAAACCTAAACATGTAAAAAACGATTTACAAAAGTTTTGAATTTGAGTCATTTACTTATGTTCTTATCGATGGTCATTTACTTAAAATGGTAGATTCTCAATTTATTGACGTATTTTGATATGATGAGGAGAACCGATTGTTTGAAGCACAGTTGGCTCTTAAATCGATCGTTATCTCTAACCACCTCTTTACATCTCGACATAATGCAAGCGATGTAGCGTCACCTAGACTAATTAGGTACATTTCAAATTTGCCGATAGGATTCGATTAACACGAAGAAGGACTTGAAATGCATGGCTTAGTCACTACCTAATGATCATTCAATTGCAAAAATCGTACTATTGAGAAAATTGTACGCATGAAGTTGTTTATGCGTCATTGGTGTTTTTTTTATTCTAACATTAATTTCTTACCATGTTCATCAATTTGGAATTAAACCGATGTCAGGACTGATCTTTTGGTGTATAAGATGAAATAAAATGGTAGTCAGCTTTCGGTGGTGCCAACATGGTTTGTGTAGAGTAGGTTTTAGGTAATCTACTTGACATAATCGTAGAATATTTGCCAACCACTAACAGTTATCCTGAACAAAAATTACAAATTTATTCTTACATCTTTTCACCAATGATGGGTTTCTCACTCTCTGTAAGATTGAAGGCTTTTCATCTTTACACAAGACTATAGTTCCAAAGTAAGATAAACTATTTACACAGTACTCATTTGAAAGGAAATTGATCAATCAATTTAGGTCTTTTCTAGAATTCTGATATGCTGGGAAATGAAAGAAATTATCAGTTATTGAACGTTTCATTCCATTATAAACATCGTACCAGTTAGTTTGGATGAAAGTTGTTAGAATTTCATAACTCAGGAGTATATACTTTTATTTTAAGATAATCTTGATCACATGAAAATGTTTCCTAAAACGAATATTAGAACGTAACACGTTAATGATGGATAAGGTACTAGTGTTTGCCGTAAACAAGTAATAAATCAGAAACTTTAATGAGCAAGTTTACGGTTGCATACTCCTATGCTTTTTTGGCCCGTTAGTGCAATGGTATGTTCGAGAGTAGGGACGATCGACTCTCCTTGAAATGCTCTCAAGTGGCCACGTGTATACAACCACTGCCAGAGAAGTCTTACACACTGCTTTCTCGTTTGGGGGATGCTGTTTACGAAATTAAGAAGACGAAAAACGAATGTCCGTCTCTTTAAACAAGTTGCTGGGAACTTAGAGTGCTTCTAAGGAAGTTGGAAAACCCTTATTCCAAAACAGTGGTGGACATGTGTTGGCTTCAGTGTCTTGAAGGAGTGAATGGCTCATGAATCAGTCGTTGATCACTAGTTAGTATGTCAGTGCATCTTCCAATGTTGCTCCACTTACTTGAGGATTGAACCTTTAGGTCGAAGACTCCGGGCGTAGACCTCTCAGAAAATCACGTGCTTCGGTTCGGGCACTCGGGCAGTATCACAGCCCGCACACAAATCAAGTTACTTGTGTGGCGCATATGTATTGGGTACCTCTTTTTACCAATATGTTTGTGTTTAAATAATAATAATGAATATTATTAGCTGCTTGCCATCACTAATATGTTTACAGTGTAATATTGAGGTATGATATTATGTGAAATAACTTACATTGATAACGGAAGAAAACTACGATAAATTAGATTATCAATAATAACTACACAGATACTCGACGCGCGAACTTTGAAAGTGGTAAAATTTCTCACGTGGTTTGGGAATTTTTCGACTTGTTCCTTTGTAGGGTGTATTATACTGTGATTATCATCCTATCCTGTACATCTGGTACATGTTACCCCGAAAAAAAGAAAAAAAGTTTTTTATTCGAAGCCTAACTCGCATTGTCTTTGTATGTTCTGCTGTACGGATAAAAAGGTACTAATTCAGGAGGCTATGGGCCTATTGGCTTTGGTCTGCAAGAAAAACGATGGCGGAAGCAATGATAACAAGAGCACTTACGGAGAAGAATGTGTCAGTGTAGAAAGTGCTGCCACTGGACCCGTTAAACACCTGACTGTGGTTGACGGGAACGTGAAATCTCCGTTGACATTAACGAGGAATGAAGTGCCGTTTGATATTGACATCGGCAGTCATGCACCTCTATTCGGAATAGAAGATCCAGATAAAACTGTCACCGTTCCACATAGTCCAGGTGTGGCTGTCCTGAGTGGTGACAAATGGACTTCAGTATGGAGAAAAAGGAATGGAAAGAAAAGGCTGTGGGCAAAACGCAGCTGGTCAGCAAGGCATTGGAAGTGATGTTATCAGAAGAAAAATCCTCACTGCGTGACAATACAGATCTCTCTGAGAGATCAGTCATTTTTCATAAGATAAGAAAATCTTCAGATAAAGAACCAAAGGCAAGATTTTAACACGATCTCAATCATATTAAGACATCATTAAGTAAACTACTCTCAGATACAGTTTCAGGAGTTAGTATTTGTAAGCTTTATAGAATAAGAAAAAAGGTGGATTCCGAAAGTCCTCCGAAAAATCGCCTTCTCAATGTTACATTCAACACGGTGGACGAAAGGAACCTGATTCTAAGTAATTCACGTAAACTGATTGGATCCGTGAGGATCTCAGCCTAGCTGGTCGTATTAAGAGACGAGCTGCAAAAGCGGAAATAAACGAGCGTCGCTTGAAACGGTGAAAGAAACCTCGTTCTTAATGGTTTTCAGATTGTAAAAGTTCGGAGCAAAACGATCCCTAAGTCACTCTGGGTGGCAAGGGAAAGCTCTCGGTAGACTTAAAAGTGTGCTACACAAATGCTCGCAGCCTACTAAATAAAGTGGCGGAGCTCAAGTCAGTGGTAGATAAGGAAAAACCGGACGTAATCGCCGTCTCAGAAACTTGGTTAACGTCAGAAGTATTAGATAGTGAAATCCAGTTGACTGGTTTAATAACCAGTAGGGCTGGTAGATTAAACCGAAGGGGAGGCGGGGTTATTCTGTACACGAAAAGTATCCTAACCATAAGGTTAGCTGAGACAGTAGCACATGTTTCGGGGACATGTTAACTGGTGAGATGTAAGTTGAAATGCCGAAGGCAAGATATTGAAGTAGTTGTAGTTTGTCGCAGTCCAGAATGTGTAGCAGACGATTTTATCCTAAGTAAACTTAATTCCTAGTGTAACAACGGCAAAAGTCTTGTAGTAGGCGACTGCAAACTGTTAAAAACCTCGATTGGATTAGCATTATTCCAACACATTAGAGATCCCACAAGATACGACTTAAGAAACTCGTCTTCTATTTTAGATTTAGTCTTCACGCACGGGGATGACGTTGGTCAAATGGCATTTCTCCCACCACTTGCGAGGAGTGACCATGCAGTCTTCTTATTCAAATTCATGGCTGAGATTTTCTGTCAAACAGTTGCACCGGCCCGTCCTAACATATGGAAGGCAGATATGCAGGTAATTAACTCCGCAGCGTCGGCTGAAAACTGGGAAATTGACTGGAAGGCATCAGTACAAGAGGCAAGGACTATTTCCAGGCAGTTATACAATCGGGCAACTCAACCATACATATCCTGGACTGTCCCAAAGAAAAAGAAGCACAGACATCCCTGGATAGGCCGGGATATTCGACGTTTACTAAGAGAAAGAAAAAAATGCTGGGACGTTGCGATCCGCCTTGGCACAGCAGATAGGATGGAACGCTACAGATCGATAAGAAACGAGTGTATAACGAAAATTCGGGAATTTATACGAATATTCATCAAGATTAGAACGAATAGTTTGACAGTAATTGAGCGCCGAGTACAGAGAAGTCATTGTATGTGAAAATTATATTTGAAGTATTCTCAGTGATTGAAATTTAACTTATTCAAACGTTCCGTCTAGCTAACTTACCTGGACTTCTTCAGGGTAATAATCAAAATTATCAAAGAAATATATAGCTTTTTATCAATCAGGATTATACTGTGTTGAATCAATCATATTTGGATGTTGATTTTCTGTAAAATAGGATAAAATAAGTCAGATAACTGGAAATCATGTGGAGAAATCAACTACATGGAAATAATTAACTGAGTAACAAATCGTATATGTGTGAGTGTGTAGTTATGTATGTGTGAGAGATTGATATGAAGGAATAAATAAAGTTCAAGGATGAAAAATTGATAATGAAACATCGATGTACATGTCAAAACATAAATTGTATTGATTAGAAAGCTCATTGAATTCATTCAAAAATAATAACGATGCATGTGATACTAAAAAACAGGTTTAAACAAGAGATAGGTTCCAAATTTTTACTTGTCAAACGAAATTTGACAGGTAGTTGCCAGTTGAATACCATCTTTTTGGTTCAGGCTGTTCTTGTTTGCCCATATATGCAGCGCTTGTGCTGTCAATCTATCTTTATGTGTGTTAAAACTTTTCTGTAGTATTTTGGTCCCTTCAAAATAAATCTTGTGTCCTGTTTCCAACGCATGTAACGCTATCGCTGACTTATTTTCAAGTTTCTTTAAATCGACCGAGGATTTTGGAACATTTTTCAAGCATTGTTTGTGTTTATTCAACCTTACATTCAATTGCCTGGATGTTTCTCCAACATAAGTAGCTGTCATGACAGTGAATCTCATACACAGTATTCTGTTGTTCTTCGTTTGCTAACTTGTCCTTAACTTTCACTAATGTCGATCTTAATGTGTTATTCGCTCTAAAATATACTCTTATATCATGTTTGTTTAGAATCCGATTGATTTCTTTTGATGTTTCACTACGGTAAGGTATGACTACGGTGTACTTCCATTGTTTTCGTATACATTCTAGTTTAGTTTTTCTTTCATTTTTAATAATCTTCTTTAAAAACCTTTATGGGTAGTTGTTATCCCAAAGAGTAGGAAACACTTTATTTAATTCGGTTCGTTGGTCTTCCTTGTCTGTAACAATCTTATTACTTCTGTTTATCATATTTTTTACTACATT